ATTAATTATTAAAATTATTAAAATTATTAAATAGCATCCAAATAAATATTCATTAGCATCCAAAAAAATGTCACTAATATGTCCAATTTTAGCGACCAATACTAATTAGTGGTCGCTAAAAGCCTCAGTGACAAGGCTGCTGTGACAAATCAGTGACCCACATATTTTTTGTCGCTATTTGCTTTAGCATCCAAATTAACATTTTTAGCGACCAATATTTTTAGTCACTAATTACCCATTTCTTTGTAGTGATTTTAAGTGCCTATATGGTTAACTCGCTCTCCAATCTAGACTAGGGTAAGATTTGTACTACATTAGCAAGGTACATGCCACTATAGTTTAGTGCTCAATTTAGACTTAGGATCCAGGACGAATTCAAAATCATAAGACCCTAATTTCTGGAATATAATACCAACTTTCTAATAAATCGACAATTTGAATTAAAATTTTCTTCAATAAAAAAATTAAAGCCCAACACATAGGGTAGGTTGAGACATTTTTGAATTGCTTCAAAATCCTAAATGTCTCCTACTTCTCTTCTGTTGACCCCTGAAAATAAGTGTTCAAAACTTGATCCATTCCCGATAGGAATTCAAACTTTATTCCATTTGTTCATTCTCATTAAATTAATAATTGACACAACATGTCAGTATAAAAAAAAATTAGTAATTCTCATATTCAAAATAGCTTGTTTAGCTAACTTTCCCTTTTAGTAAACATTGTTAGGGAGATTTATTAGACATCACGGCTTTTCACAAAATTAAAGTGCTTTGAAATTTCAATCAATTATGCTAAAGTTTCACAGATTATTATTAGTGAAAATAACTTTCTATGTTACATGCCACTAAAAAAACTAATGTTGATCAATTATTTTTTTATATCATATGCTCCTTTATTCTATAAAGCTAAGTGTTGAAAATATAATAATTTTGTATGTGTAAGAAGAATTGAGAGAATTACCTTAAACTCATTTGAAAAATAACTCAAATATGATGGCTTAATAGTTGTCAATACCATAAAGCTATAAAATGACAGATTGTTTCGAGTAATATTCATGCCCTTACCACACTGATGTATAACAAGGTCGAGAAAGCACATTTTGAGGATAATTTCTCATGGGGTAGGGTTTAGAATTCTCTGGTTAATTAAACTGATAGACATAAAACTAAATTATTAAAGTAGTTGAGATGACCATTTTTTTTTTAGTTGAGATAACCATCGCAGAGCTATCCGTATTATATTTCTCTATTTCGATTTTTTCTTAATCATTATCCACTAAAGAAATTATATATATATAATTCAAAATAAAATCTTATATTTTATTATGATCATTGAAATGAACAGTGCCTACAAATTTCATAATGTGCAAATCAATAATATAAATTGATAGCCAATGATTAAGAGCCATAAGCTCGACTATAGAAAAATTATTTAAATATAACTCCGCTAGCAGAATTAATTTCTCTTTATCATAAATAGGGAATAAATCATTTGGATTTATGCATGTCACACAAAAAACTAACTTATAGTTGATTTGAAGAAATAATATTTAACTCTTGAAATTTAATATCAACTATTGTGTAAAATTATTCAACACAAAAATAAAAAAATTATTATTTCTTCACCTCTTCACATTGATGATAGATGAGCCTTCATGCATCATTCATATTGGTAACATCAAAATCAAAATTGTTACAAAACCATGGCACTTCATCCAATAACTACTCCATCCATGCTCTCTCATCTATAGCCATTGTTTTGATACGTATACAAATTTTAAATGTTTTAATCTTTCTTTATAAGGATTATGTCAACTCATTTAAGATCCCCCAAGTAACACTCATTAATGCATTGTGAGAACAAAATCAAATGATTTAATTGCATTCGTTAGAAAAAGAATGTAGCAAAAGGTGAGATGTTATATTTTGCTCTTCCATTGTCTTCCTATTTTTATAATTTCTCTTCTCTAAAATCTGTCTATCATCTTTCTAAAGCCATAGCTTGCCTACCGCTTGCTTTTTCATCATCACCAATTCTTCTTCTTCATAATTATTTTTTGTTACTACATTCATTTCTCTAGTAATAGATTTTAAAAGAGCCGCTAAAGAAGCTTATTTGCTTCCTTCAACAAAATTGTTCTTGTCAAATCGAAAGTCACTACGAGAGTGGATAGAGCTCTCAAATCAGGTTGGATGTGATTTATTATTATTATTTGTTTAAATATGGGTAAAATAAGATTTGAGCTGGTAATATTATCTAAATAGACCTCTTAATTTAACAAAATTACAAGTTTGAGGGTACTAGGCATGATTCTTCCTCTGTCTCTCTCTTTATATGTATGTATAAAGAGGGAGATAGAGAGAGAATAATCTAGTGGTAAAAGATGTAAGATAAATTGAACAATTTTTAACAGAAACTAATTATATACCATCAACATGGACCTGTTTCAACCCTAAAACTTAAATAAGTAATTTAAGTAGCTTTGAAAGTTCAAAAAATAATAATTAAGAACAATTTTTGCTCTTATTAAAAGTTTTTCTTTTACCAACATTTGGCAAACAACCACTTTATAATCCACTTCTATTGGTCATGCCGTTTCAGCACCATTTTTTTTTCAAATATGAAATTCATACAGGGACCAGTTTAATTAATCCATCAAACTATTGATAATTTAATAAAACTAGATGTATGAGTTAGAGTTTTATGATATTAGTGTAATTTTGAGAGAAATTATTATAAATTGTTGTAATTTCATCTCACTTTTATACAGAGTTGGAAGAGAAGGAACCATTAATGCCAAACTGAAATTTAATGTAACTGTATAAATAACAGAACGAAGGAGATCATTTCAATCAATATATCCGAACAATTTTCACTTGAACTTTTCAAAAACTATTCAAAGACTAAAAGCAGTGAGTCACGTATAACGCCTACCTCACTTGTGCATTCAAATCCCATAAAAATGATATTTTGTATATGCAAGAAGAAGATGCGGAGGGTGGTTTAAATTCAAAAAATCTGCTTAAGCTCAGACTGAAAGAGCAAGAGCTCAATACCACACTGGCAAGGATGGCAACATGGTGTAGACAATGGTCAAAAATACAATGGATGGAAGAAGGTGAAAAAAATTCTTGTTTTTTCCACACCTATGCAACGGCAAGAAGAAACGGAAACTTGATTAATCAAATTGTGGATGCAGATGACTATGGAAACTGATCCAGAAATTATTCACAAGATTTTTGAAAACTATTTCACGAATAAATGGAGGAAACATAAATGTGAACTCTCTGATTGGCCTTACTTTAGTATGAAAAATTGCATAAATGAGGAGATGAAAGAGCTGTTGAATTCAGATTACACAAAGAAAGAATTATACACAACTATCATGAAAATGAGCAACAATAAATCACCATGTATGGATGGGGCAAATGCTTGTTTTTTCAAATCTTATTGGAACATAGTGGTGGAAGATACCTGGAATGCAATTAATGAGTTCTTTTTAACGGGAGTAATGCCAACTGATTGGAAAAAATGGCTGTAGTGCTGATACCCAAAGTCCCAAATGCTTCATAATGTTCAAAATTCAGGCCAATTTATTTATGCCAAACCACTTACAAAATGGCTGCAGGTATGATTTTAAACAAATTAAAAATGTGTCTCCCTAATATCATCTCGGAATACCAAGGGGCCTTTATACTGGGTACAAGTATATCTTATAATTGTCTTATTGCACAAGAAATTGTGAATAAGATGAGATTTTCAGTAGCTTAACTGGGATACATGCTATTAAAGCTTGACATGGAACAAGCATATGATAGCATGTGCTGGGATACTTTAAATCAGATTATGAAGATTTTTGGATTTTCGGAAAGGATAATACATTTGATTATGCAATGTGTTAGTTATCCCAAATCTATGATCAAAATCAATGGAAGGGGAACAAATTGGATAACTACAAATTGTGGATTTAGACAAGGATGCCCATTATCTCCTAGTCTATTTATTTTGTGCTCCGAATTATTGTCCAAGGCTCTACAAGCTAAATCTAAGCAACTGGGTATCAAATTAACTTCAAATGTAGAGAAAATAACCCATTTACTATATGCGGATAATGTACTGGTTGTTGCGGAGGCTTATAGGAAAAATGTCATCTTGATGTAGATTTTTAAGAACTACTGTGGATGGACAGGACAAAAAATTAATGCACAGAAATCATTGATTCTCTTTGGAAAAAATGTTACAAGAAGGAGGAGAAGATTAAACAAACTCATGGGCAATGCTTAAACTTGCGTAATCGGGTATTGAGGCGTTTTTCATTCGTGAGGTGAGGCGTAAGCCTCAAGGCGTTTTGAGGCGTAAGCCTCAAAATCAAAAGATTGCGTAAACATAAAATGATAATTTTTTTTATATAGTAATGAGTGAATAATATAAAACATAAAAAAGCATAAAATATGAAGTCTACTGTGGATGGACAGGACAAAAAATTAATGCATAGAAATCATTGATTCTCTTTGGCAAAAATGTTACAAGGAGGAGAAGATTAAACAAACTCATGGGAATTACAGAAGTCAAAGAGTTCAATTACTTGGGAATAAAATTGGCATTAAGGAGAATGAAAGCTATTGATTATAGATGCATTGAAAAAGCAATGGAAAGATTAAACTCATGGGGTGCTCGTTGGCTTTCTTTAGCTGGTAGAATAATGTTAATTAAAACAACATTCTCTTCTATCATTTCATATTTAATAACTCATTCCCTTATTCTGAGAAGTATTTTGATGACAACCGATCGAATGGGAAAAAGTTTTTTTGTGGCATAAGGAGGGAAATAGGGAATGCATTATATAGCTTGATCGACATTGTGCTTGGCAAGTAATTTGGGAAGATTTGGAATTCAAGGAGCAGTTGAAAGACAAGGTCCGTTGAGAGCCAAGTTAGCATGGAACTTCATACATGATCAGAATTCTTTATTGAACAGAATTCTGAAGATAAGATATGGAAATGGTATTTGGGAAGAAGGTATAAAAAGGAATTCATCTCCTGCTTGGCGAATCATTAAGAAAGGATCAAACTATCTTAAGCCCATTACAAGATGGAGTACTCAATCAGGGAATAACATTGACAATAGAGCATTTCCAGGATTTCTATTTGACAGCAGATGAGCAGGTGTAAATATTGAAGCAAGCTTCATTAGCTTTCCACTTTCCACTTTATTATATGTTCCTCTCTTTTTTATAATTTCTTTTTAATATTTGTGTAATTTTCCTTACAGGCCAACTTAAGGAGCCAAAACCCTGGAAACGCTCTATTGGAGGTCTTGAAATTTATTTTTATCTTGAACATTATGCAAATGAGCAATAGATAAGGCAATGATTTGTGCATTGCACGTATTTTGGATGGTTCTTCTCTCTTAGAATTTTTATTTTTTAGAAACTTTAAAAATAGACATTTGGACTCAAATTACTTTCAGTTTCGTGGGAATGCTGGAAGCCATGCCTGCAATTGTCTCTGGATACGCTCACAGCTCTAAAAGAACTGACAAAAGCAGGTATCATACCTATCCCAAAATTCTGAGCCTACATGCATTGGAACCCATCGAAAACTCTCTTTCAAATTGAAAACTGGTGAACTATAATACTTTTCAGGCATGAAAAAAGCTGCCACGGTATGATAAGGTAAGCATGAAAAGTGACTGTCTTCCACTTAGCAAGTTGTTTTTGTTGATATTTTTGGCTTTTTTTGCATTACTTATAGTCTTCACATGGAGGGCGAGGTTATTAACAGATAAATCTCAGATTATTAAATAAATAAATTCTGTGGTAAAAATGTAATTAGCTGATCCTTTGTACTTCTCTGTAAAGTCTATTTATAGACTGTCTTGTAACTGAGTAATAAATGAATATACTTTCTCTGTTTCATTTTCTGTATCTGGTTCGTCTCCTCACTTTGTCCGAAGGATTATTATCAAGAAACCAATTGGTTTCTACATAGTAGTTCTTCTCCTCACTTTGTCCGAAGGATTATTATCAACAGGGTACTTGGAGTTTAGTTCCAAAGCCAAAATCACAAGTATTAGGCTGCAAGTGGACATACCGGCTTAAATTACACAGTGATGGTTCTATTGCCAAATACAAAGCGCGCTTGGTAGCGCTCGGAAATAATCAAGAATTTGGTCTCAATTATACAAAGACATTTAGTCCCGTAGCTAAATTACCAACAATTCGTATTTTACTCACAATTGCTTTCTCTCGTGATTGGAAGGTACATCAACTTGATGTCGCAAATGCTTTTCTTCACGGTACCCTTTCGGAGACAGTTTTCATGCATCAACCAAAAGGGTTTGAAGATCCTAATCATCCAACTTATGTTTCCGGATTGCATAAAGCCTTGTATGGTCTTAAACAAGCTCCGAGGCAGTGGTACAATACGTTCACAACGTATCTCATCTTCCTCGGGTTTACCAATAGTGCATCCGATCCTTCACTATTTCTGTTTAACAAAAATAATGTTCATCTTTTCTTATTAATTTATGTAGATGATATTTTATTTACCGGTAATAATGTTCCTTATATTAACCAGATTCTTGAACAGCTTAGTAATAGGTTTGCTATGAAGAATCTTGGCCTTGCACACAACTTTCTGGGCATTAAAGTTGATCGAAATTCAGACATCTTGTTTCTCTCACAAGCTCAATATGCCACAACATTGCTTGATACCGCTCAACTGACCAGATGTAATCCCATTCATAATCCGAATTGTACAAAAGCTCCTGCAGATCCACCACAGGAAAACATTCTCTCAGATCCCACAATGTATCGCCGGCTTGTTGGTTCTTTGCAATACCTTACTCTTACGCGCCCGAATATACCATACAGTGTTAATCTACTATCGCAACATATGCATAATCCGTCTTTGCATGATGCCTTTCTTCTCAAACGTCTTTTGCGTTATATAAAAGGTACTTTACATTTTGGTCTACCAATCTCTAAATCTAATTTTACTATTACTTCCTTTTCAGACGCGGATTGGGCCGGTGATACTGAATCAAGAAAGTCTACTTCAGGATTTTGTTCGTTTCTTGGAGATACACTAATTTCATGGACCGTCAAAAAGTAACAAACTGTAGCAAGATCTTCCACGGAGTCCGAGTATCGCGCCTTAGCAGCTCTTACAGCAGACGTTATTTGGATTCGGAAACTACTTACCGAACTCGGTGTTACTCAATCTCAACCAACGAACATTTACTGTGACAACATGTCAGACATTGCCTTAGCAAATAATCCCGTCTTCCATGCTCGTACGAAGCACATTGAAATAGATCAACGATTCGTACGAGATCACATACAGAACAAAAACATTTGTATATCTCCCATTAGTACTACTGATCAGATCGCTGATATGTTTACAAAATCTTTACCAACTCTGAGATTTAAAACTCTACGACTCAAACTAACGGTTACCAAAAACCCGTTAGTTTGTGGGGGGCTATTAACAGATAAATCTCAGATTATTAAATAAATAAATTCTGTGGTAAAAATTTAATTAGTTGATCCTTTGTACTTCTCTGTAAAGTCTATTTATAGACTGTCTTGTAACTGTGTAATAAATGAATATACTTTCTCCGTTTCATTCTCTATATCTGGTTCGTCTCCTCACTTTGTCCGAAGGATTATTATCAAGAAACCAATTGGTTTCTACAGAGGTGATAGAGCTGATCCTTCAGAATGGCCAGAGGTTGAAGGTTCATTAACGGTAAAGCTATGCAAAACCGACAAATACATATATATACTTGTGATGAAATGCAACTTGGTAGGTTTTTGTGCTTTCTATATGTGGTTCTACTTGAAGGCTGGATGCTTGGCTTTCAACCTCTCCCAAGTGATGTTGTCAAAGCAGTAGACCCACAAGCAAGCTTTTTGAAAAAAAAAACCAACCACTACCAATTGGTTCCTTTTCACCTCTTTCTCCTGGTTTTTGGAGTTACATATGCAGTTTAATTACCTTTTTTTTTTCAGCTTGAAATTGTAAATAGAAATCTCGAAGCCTACTATGACGCATGGGACAGATTCGTAAATTCATGGATAATTATCAAGATCAAGGATCCTAGTTATGTCTATCAGTGGAGATTATAGGTTTTCATTTATTTATTTATTTTTCTGGCGGTGAGGGGTTATACTTTTCTATGCTTTCACACTTCATTAAATTGATCTTCATTTTTCAGGCTGATGAGGAGGTATGCTTTTCTTCAATTTTCTTTTATATTTTCCCCACCCATTGATATTAGTGCCATATTATTCTGCTTCCAAATTATGTTCAATACAACTGAGGCTTGGCAACATTACACTTTGTTTCACTAATCCTGATCACTAATGGGCATATACGATATTTGATTATGATGAATTTTGTAATTTTTAAATTTATTTTTAGAAGAGTATCATCTATGAAGAATTAATCAGCACTCATCACAAAATAAATTCACTAACCTTGATGTTATCATAGCTAAAATTTTAATTTTGATATCCTTTGGGCATCTCCAACCGAAAATCTTATTTTTCACTCCAAAATGCAGTGTAACAAAAAAATAGCATGATTCATCTCCAATAGAACTCTATTTTGTGCCCAGATAATTATCTTTCTCCTTCGCGCGTTTCTTCGACAAATCAGGTAGAGATAGAAAAATAGCGCACTGTTCACTCGCAATAAAATACCAGAAGTTTTGACGTTCGGCTGGAGCTTGCTAGCGACGCCATTTTTGTGTTTGGAGTTCGGTTAGAGATGCCCTTAGACAATTTTTCTTACCATAGCACATGGCCAAAATTTTGATTAGGCCTCAAAATCAGTCGCTCATGATTGCAGATCATCTGTGAACAGTTTCTGTTTTCAAGAATATGACAAAATCTTGCAAATATTTCTCTTAACCTTATTCATTTGATTTAAATTTATTTTACAGGTCTTGGACTTTGTGTCTCGTTATTTACCTGCCTATAAAGCGTATCTTCCAACATTGTATTCTGAAGGGCCGAGGAATTTTGTTAAGGAACGGCTGCTAATAGTTGATATCGACAAGGAGAGAAATCCCATATAGAGAATTGAAATTACATTAAGTCGTTCTATGTAATTTAACATTTAGGCATATTGCTTGTGTGACATTTAGGCATGCCTCAAGATAAAATCATCCAAAGTTTTCTTAATCAAATTTATTTAATCTCTTAAATTATTGTTATATACAACATTCAGAATTATGTTGGAGCTTCAAGTTTTGGACATTTGTTACAAAAATATTTAGCAATGGCCCACAATATTAATAAACATGGCAAATATTTGTATTTGAATATCGTTGATTAAAATGATATAAGATAAGTTCTAAAAAACAAAAAATAAATTAATAAAAAATGATAATTCTTAAAAAACTGTTGGATGATTATTTTAGAGTTTTGTAAAATATTAATTATTTATATATTATATTTATCTTTTAAAGTATATTAGAAGGATTAAAATCCATCTTGAGTGGATGGGATATCTGATGTAATTTTTTGTCAAATTTTTCGTCTAAAATGGAAGAAAAGGACAATTGTTGAATTGCACACTATCATGACTCACTTCGCCTTCACAGATAACAAATTATAAATTCATCAACGAGCTAAGAAATAAAAAAAGATGCTACATTTCTCCTAAGGGTTGTTTGGTAGGCTAAAAAAATACTACATTGTAAAAAGTGGTAATTTAAAAGAAATATTTTAGAGTTGTTTGGATGTAGTGTAAAGTAATTCATAAAGCGTTTTTGTTTGTTAGGTTTTGAAGTAAATTGAATGCATTGTAGATCAAGAATGATAGTGATCGGTTGTTGGAGGCGGTGGTGGCAAATGGTTCGTGGTAGGGGTGTCAAAATCGGCGTTGTGGTTGGGTTTGTGGTCGGGTCGAGTCGAACTTGGAACTGACCTTACACTAATTAACACGACTCAAACCTACCTATTTTTCAAAACATGTCATAAAATTCACCCGGTCCAACCTTGTCGGGTTCGAAGGTGACTAGACCTACATGAAATGAGTTATGCCGAAGAAGCGCGTGAATGGGAGGAACTCTGTAGAACCATCGATGAGGCAACTCGTTGCATAGCTACTGCAGAGGGATGGAAGGAATCCATTGAAGTTGAGAAGAGGAAAAGCAAACCTCTGGGACTTGGTCGAATGCATGGCAACAAGCAAGCGTCGGATTGCGCCTGTCGGAGATACGAGACAAAATCGCGGGGGCGGGATTAGGATTGGCTGATAGTAGCGATCCTCATCTCTTCTCTTCATGTCCATCTCTGCTCTTAATGTCCGCCAGCAGTAGTGAGCCAGCCAGTCAATAGTATTATCGTCTCTGACTCTCAAATTGAAGCCAGCCAGCTAGAGAGCCAGTCGGCAGCAGCAAGCCTCGTCTCACTGAGCGAGGATTCCCCTCCGTCTTGACGCAATGTGAGCACGACAGTGGTTTCGAGTCAACCCGGGTTTGTTTCAGGTTTTTGAGTCTACCGAACTCATTCCGATTTTTAAATGAGTTGGAATCTCGAACACGACCCATAGACAAATGGGTGACCCGAACCCGAATTTTTTCTGGTCGGGTTTGATTTTGGCACCCCTAGTTTACAATTAATTACACTTTACTTTGCAATCCTTTTTCATTTGACGAAACACCATATTTTTAAACTCCTCTATTTGGAATACTTTTCCCCCTTATGTAATCCAAACAAACACCTCCTAGACTAAAAGGAGTGAAAATTAAATTTGATTTAATGCATTAACACTTTCATTTTTTTAATTTTCCTACAATTCTTTCAACTAAGCTATACATTGCAATTTGAAATTGTTACTTGAAGTTTATCAACCAATCACTTCAACCATTATATGAAGGCCATGTAGCAGTTGCAAGACTTTGGGTTCAAATTGGAGAAGAGTGATTTTGTTTATGTTTAATTTATCTTGTGTAATATTATGTACTAAGAGTTTTATTGTTTAATCTTGATTTATTCGATGGATAGTACCTGTCTTTAATATTTTTTTGAGGAAAGCAATTAAATTGCATTAATAAAAAGAAAACTATTACAAACTAGAACTATAAACCGATTCCTCCTTTAACAATTGATTAAAGAGGAGGAATTCTTATTCGTAGCTAATTATCATCCAATCAAAATGTTAAAGAGAGCATAATTAGCACATAAGTTGGCTAACTTATTACATTCTCTATTTACCCAATTAAAAATAACAAAATTAAATTCTTTTAAGAAAGCAAGCTCATCCTTCCAATTACCTGACTTATTAGCAGATTTGTTTTGTGAGCTAAAGAACCTATTGGTAAGAATATTGGTAAGAATGAGAGTAGAGAGAATAAAGAATTAAATGAGAATAAAGAAGCAAAACCTTCACTATCTCAGACAAGAATAAAAGAATAAGACTAGAGACTAAAAGTTTAAGAGATTCCAAAAGTCCCCCAAATTGTTCATCATTACTTCTTATTTATAGGGTTTTGATAGGTACATGAATGGCTATACATAAAATAAAAATATGGGTTACACAAAAATAATCATACAAAACTACATGCTAATCTAGGATACATGGTGCCTCCTAATTGGTTGTAGGAGGATCAAGTCAATGTTCTAGTTAGCTATCTATCATTAGGCGACTCAATAGGGGCAACTAGTGTAGGGAGAGTTCTAAGAGGAGGTAGACCTATAGTTAGCATGGGACATAGGAGGTTTGGTGTCGCCCTGTTGAGGAAGGAGTGCCAAGGTGTTACTAGGAATGATGTGTTTATGAGTCCAATAGGAGTTGTAGTCGAATTAGTAAAGGGTCATTAAGATAGACATTTTTCTCTAAATATGTTTAGAGAGCTCAAAGAGTCAATGCTTGACTGAGATGAGTGGATAGACAAAATTAATTATGCCAACTGATTTGATTAATATTTTTTATAATCAAATCTGCATAGCTAGCAACATATTGTCTCTAATGATAGATTGATGCTTGACTACCGATTTAAAAGTAGAAATATAATTTTTTTTTTCATAATCAAAGTCAGCATAAGGAATATAAGAATTTTGAAAGATTAAAATATTATTCACCTATCATTTTGGAGATGAATTTAAAAATGGATAGGCTTTAATTTATGCGTAAAGATTTTTTCCTTGCTTTAGCAAACTAAAGTAGGGTTTATTTTTTAATGGGTTCTAGGTCTCCTATAGAGACTCCCCTATATAGTTAATTATATTCCAAGACAGATTCTAAGCAAAACTATTAATTAAAGTGGTAATTAGACTGTTTTAAAATTACAAAGATTGAAAAAAAATTAAGTTAGACTTACCAATCAATCGGGATTAGTTCATGGATTAGAGACTTCTTTATGGGTTAAAGGAGAAAAGGTAGAGATTGTTTGAGACTTTAAAAATCTAGAAGCACTCTATCCTATTCAGGGTTTGGATTTATAGTTTAGATTAGGATTTTATTTAGGTTTAAGTTTACAATTTATTAAAAATTTGGATAACACTCCCGGCGAAGAATTTAGAAAGTGTATGCAGATCTGAACTTATATCTGCTTGGAATGAACTGCTAGTTAACCACATAAGAACACAATTTTAAATCTATGTTTTTCAGGCCTTATGCATGCATGGTAGATAGCTATTTTATTAATTGGAAATCAAGGATTTAAGTTTTTAATTTATAACAGGGATTTACAAGATATATGAACCTAACTAATGAAATTTGATGTGACTTTACCATAGACTTCAAATTTATTTTAATTTCTAAAAATTTTCTAAGCCTAGATTTTTTAACAAAAATACAACTGCATAACAATCTTATACGAGTAAGGAATATTATGACAACTCATTGCTTTGGCCCTTCACTCCTTATCATTGGCTTGTGTGTTGGACTAGTGTACATTTTAGAAAAGTAAATAGTGTGCTTATATGCATGACTAGGCAAAGCTATTCAGGTATGTATTACCAAACTGCATCGTCCTAGATCAAACATATGTATCCTTATAAAGGTAAGGATACATACATCGTAGAAACCTAAGAAAATAATCTACCCAATCTAATGAAAACATCTATCATCTCGCATATATGCAATTTATTGATGTTTATAAAATAATATATAA